AAATAAATGTAGAATATATGATCTGTATTTGTTTATGACTGGTTTGATCAATTCTTGTTCAATTTATTGATACATTTATTTATTTATTGATGCATTTATTTATTCATATATTTATTTTTACAGTTATTCATTTATCGACGCATTTATTTATTTATTCCTGTATTTATTTATACATTTATTTATACTTAGGTCATTTTTTGTCCTCCATACCATAGGACTACTTCGGTCCGCAACTGGTTTACAGTTCACCCACTCTTCGCTGTACTCAACCTCCCTGCATACCCTCCATTCTTGAATCTGTTAGGGATTTAAGCCAGAAGTGCACCCCTAGTCATAGAATTTATAGTACGTGTGTAGTGGCTATTTGTCCATAAACTTAAACAAAAACAAATAATAACAAACTTCTCAAATGGCCACTCGAGGCTACGTCATGGTTAGGCTTTACGCAGGTTCAGAGGTACCAAAGCAAAGTAATGTCCATAACAAGATTGAGTTTGAGGCGGTTTATTCACACACATAAGCCAGCTCACAGACATTTCTGCTGCCTCTCTCACGCTGGTAAAAAACCATATGCCCTCGTGCCTGAAGTACCTCCCACCTTGACCTACTTATGCAAATGAACATAACACCATGTGACCAATAAACGACAATACGAGTAAAGCATAAATACAAAATACACCAAATTAACTTTAACAGGAAAAGAAAAAGAAATAAGTAAGGCTATAAATTAACTTAAACCCAAAATAAACAAAAATAAAAATATAGCTCCAACAATGTGTAATAATGTTTAGTGTTAGAATTATAGTTTGTGTGATGTTAGATATTAGTTATTACATTAACATGTTAGATGAAGTGAATACAATTTGAATCAAACACAGTTTATAGTCATTTAAATCGTATAAACACTCTACACATTAACATTCTGTTACAATGTGATGTTAAAACCTGGGGATGGATGCTAATTGCCGTCCTTTATGGATTTCTCCCAATTTTATCCCCATAGAGGTTTTTTTGGGAGTTTTTTCTCCTGTCAGGTAGTGAATGAACAACTTAATGTAAGGCAGCCAACTGGGGCAAATGTCTTGAGAATTGAACCACATGGACTGTTTTAGATCTTATGATGAAGTGTGATGAACGGTGATCATTAATGATGCGTTGTAATTAAGGTGTACTAGTTATAAGATGAAGACAAACTATGTATGCTTTGTTAAATTCACTCATTGAGGCATAAAGCCAACTGTATCTACATTGAATGCATTGGAATGTGAGGGACAGATAGGACAGAGAGGTTTCAGGTTACAGCTGCAGCTTCACACCTCAACGTGAAGGGGACAATACAGGAGGGTGTGACGACTCGAAGAGACGGTGAAGATTAACTTCCTGTTTTATTTTTGTAACCACGGCACTTCCTGTATCTAGTTTCCCCTCACAGCTGAGTTTAGTTTGCAATCCCCCCCACCTGTATTTAAGCCTCAGTTCCCCACTTGTCTGTGTCAGGTTATCTTTTGTGTTTCCTAGAGGTGTATGTTTGTAGTTAGAAGTCCCCAGTGCTGTTTTTGGTAAACTTGTTTTTTTAATTCGTTGCCAGGCTCTCTTCCTTTTTTTGTTTCTTCTAGAGCGTGTGGATTCCGCCTTTGCCTGTGCACCCTTTTGTCTTGCATTAGTTTATTTTTCTAGTAAAGGATTTCAAACCTGCAAAGAACCTTCTGTGCCTTATTGCTCTGCACCTGAGTCGAAGTCCTGACCCCTCACAGGAGGGGACACTCTGAAGAAGAAGCCAATGACATTCAAATGCACCAAAGAAGACACACCTCAAGAGTTTTCAAAGGACCAAAGCGGGGAAAGGACTGTTAGAATTTTCCTGCAGCCGCTTTGATAAGTCACTTTAGACTTGCTCAGAGGATTCTCTATTTCGCGAAATATTTTACTGTTCGCTTTGTATTTCACTTTGTAATTGTATTCCTTATAACGTTATTTAAATAACGTTATACGTTATTTATTAAGTTATTAAATACTTTTTGATTTTTGAATTTAAGCAAGCTGACTCTTTTGATTCTATGTTTCCGGCCGGGACGAGAACAAAGGAGTGAGGCCTCCCTCGAGAGCTTTCCGAAACCCTAACAAATCCAATTGAAGAGGTCTTCTCTGCCTGGCGCTGGAAGGTCTCTGACCTCCTCCCCATCAACGCATTGCCCTTTTACAGGCAATGGAGGAGGCATGTGGGAATATTGACCAGGCATCATGTCAGGGCTAACATATTGTCCCCGGTGCCTTGGACTAGAGGACATAGCATGTGATGTAGAGGAAATTTTGTGGCCAGACCCAGAGAGACGACTCAATGTAGACAGATTTTTTCATTTTTCTTCTCAGTGAAATTACTGGGAAAAAAACTCTTGTGTTTGTTTTGATATGTGTAAATAAACACCAATACTTGACGTTTGGATTCCTGTATGTTTGCAGAACTATGACAAAAGTATGACCTCAAACTGATGTAGCCTACCTTGTGCAGATAGAAAGCAAAAGCCAGATTTGTGCTTCCTTCGTGCCATCAGTGTGTAGTTGGTGCATTGTGTGCTTATTAATGTGAAGGTTTGTGTTAACCGTTTGATACATTCACACCAGGTTTGCGGTTTTACATGGTCCTCCAATGAAGGATTTTCTTTGTTTCGTAGCGCATATGTCCTCATTTCTGTCAGCCCGTGTGCATATGTGTGATATCCAGTCGCCATACAGGAGCAGCAGCAGGGATTATGGCTCAGAGGTCAATTGCCTGTGTGTGTTTTCCAGGAAGTCTCTCTACCCAGAAGCATTTAGCTGTGCAGGTCTGCTGCTTTCATACCTTCTGGAAAGACGGATGATGTGAACAAGTTTTCCTGGAAACACGGTTGAGAGATGACTGGCGGCTTTCAGGTTGCTATCTTTGTACAACGGAACGGATGGTTTGGCTGATGATGAACGTTGACTTTGTGAAGGCATACTGATTTCTGACATGTCACAGTACATTTAATTTCCAGGAAAATGAATTATATGCAATTATCGGCATGACAAGAAACAAACACTGTCAGAAGGATAAGTGGTCACAGCATGATGGACGAGATGTTTATAATAAAGTGTTTGGCCTACAGTCCAAAATAATGACTCATATGACCCGAAGTGCACGAGCTAAGTGAATATCTATATTTCACAGTGGTGCAGAATAGTGTTCTGTGTGTGTGTGCGCGAGTATACAGTGGCAGCTGCAAAACACACAAAGGTAACTTGAACATTCCCGGAAGTACGGCTACTTGCCTTCAGCATAAAACACTACATAATCCGAATTAGAAAACGGCATGATAGGTGGGATTTGGCTTCTTGTTTTCATTGTTCTCCATATACAGATTTTTTTTTTACAAATTAACAAGGAAAACATAAAAAGATCAAAACAGGACAACACAACAAAACAAGTAAACAGCTGTAAGTATAAACATGTAGGAAGAACAACAGGCGATGGAGGAAACAATCATTCTAAAATCTGATAAATTGGTGCATTTGTTAAATCCAACATGATAAAGGAAGTTACAAAACAATTAAACTAATGCTATTTCAGCTATTTTGTTCGTCATTACTGAATAAAGAAGTCCAATGATCAAAACGTGTTGGGTTACATTGGAGGGGATAGAATGAGAACATTTACTAGATCATAAATCATTCCTCGCAGCAGGGCAAAGTTGGGCTTTTAACTCTTGTTTCATCCGCTTTTTTTAAGGCACGAATGTTGAGCTTTTCCCCTCACTACGTCCCCCTTCGGAGCGGCGTCATCACACTTTATTGTGAAAGCGGTACCAGAAGTGGCGTGTGCGCTGACACGTTGTGAGTCCGTGTGCGCGTGTTTTGACAGAGCGCAGCAGCTCGTCTGTCAGCGCTGAAACGCAAAAACCTTTCTTGGAAACTGATTCCTGGAACTTCCGTCAGCCCGAACTGAACTGAGCTGTTTTCTGTGCGCAGTTCAGTGAACAAACAGCTTCTCTCCCTGCAGACCTGCGCCGATATTTCATTCTCATTCGACTACAACACATTGCAGCGAGGAATCTTTTCTTTTTATTGAGACTATTCGGCTGTGATGATGAAGAATTGTTTACTGTGAGAATCTGTTGGATTATTGGACTGTTTTTTTTTTCAACCGTTAACTGAACTCGTCGCGCTCCATGATTGTATTTAATTTGAGGTAAAAATCATTTTAAACTCTTTTCAAAATGTTTTATTCTAAAAATACAGGCCTGGAGTTTATCAATTTGTTACTTTAAATGGTGTGTCGTGTGTGTTTGGCTATTTCCATTTTTTTTTCTACTAACTGATTCTAATTATTTTTGATCTAGTGAAGTTGTTTAGTCATACTAGTCAAGTAAGCTACATTAACTCAAGAACTGTGAGTACATCATTTGATTATTAATATATCTTTTTTTTGTGCATATTTGTGTTACATTATTTAGAGGGAAACATTGTACTTAGTAGATGTATTTAATTACTAAAGTTAGTGGTTGTTTTGCAGATTTAGAGTAGTTATACAAAATATAATTAACAAATACATAATGATATATTGTTATAGATAAAATTAACATTTTAAATATCCCTCGGTGAAATTCAAAAGCTACCCAGCATAAAGCAATCACAACATGACCCACCTTTACCGGCTGGGACATTAAAGTGGAGTGCTCGCTAATGTTCTGAAATATGCTATCCTGCAATTATCCTGCCGTTATTTTTTTGTTTTCTACCTTGAAGCTAATACTTTGACATTTTTAATGCACAACGTGTCATTGAGTATCTTCACACTGGATTATCGCTACTTTTAGAAGGACCAGAGTCCGTCTTCCAGGTCTGGTGGTCGTCAGGTTTTAGGCTTTTTAGCTCATATGTCAATTACAACTGTTTTCGACTTTTACTTGAGAGAGCAAAATATTCCAATATAAACTTGGACAAATACATTTGTTTAATACCAAATATGCAATCACATATATCAACAGGGCTGCTGTCAGTCAGAAATGGTTGCTCGAGCATTGACCATTTTCCATCACAATGAACAAGGAGCTTCATGCCGCCCCCATCCCTTTCCTCCACCCAATGACCAAGCAGAGGACCTCCGCTGCATCACCACGACTTTCCAGTATCTACAGACTTCAGGTAGACCCGCATTCTCGCTGACGTAGAATTCAGCTTTGCCTCATTGATAGGAAAAATATGACGGCTTTGAGAGCATTAAATATGAGATCAATTATTTCATATTGTAAATATTTGCACAGGGGTTTTACTACAGCGGGTAGTATTGTGAAATCGATTGAAGAATCAAACCTAACCCCACCTCTAGTAACACCATCCATACGGCTGCATTCACCAGAGCTACATCCACGTAAAAGTAAACTAATATCCAAACCAACTGTCTGATCGTAGGCTGGTACTGGCACTCTATCTCAGCGAGTGAGGCCCGGGAAGCACTCTTCCAACAGTCTGAAGGCACGTTTCTGGTACGGGATAGCAGTCACCCTCAGTACATGCTGGCCCTGTCAGTGAAGACCCGTTGCGGACCCACCAGTATACGCATAAACTACAGCAGGGGCTCCTTCTGGCTGGACTCCATTTCCCCCAACCTGCCTCGTCTGCAGTCCTTCCCGGATGTGGTCAGCCTCATACAGCACTACAAGGCCTCAGGCCACTCGCCGCGGGACCCGGCGTCTGATGGCATCCACCCCCAGACAAAGCCTGAAGCGGCCAAGGACAGCGTGGTGCCTCTAAAGCTGTCGCATCCCCTGCAAAAACCAGAGGCCTTCCCTTCTCTGCAGCACGTGACGCGCCTCACCATCAACAGACACGCACACTGCCCAGACCAGCTGCCCCTCCCAAAGACTCTGCTGCGCTACCTGCAGGAGTACCCTTTCACCATATGAAGGCGTCTGTCCCTCAGGCGCAGGACACAGAGACAGGGACGTGGGTCAGTGACCACACGCCGTGAATCTGGGACAGTTTGACACCCACAAGCAACAGTGGGAGCATGTTAAAATGAATGAGCTCAGTCTCACTACATTGATACTGTCAAAAACATGATTATGAGTATTAGTTACATGGGTGTTTCTATGTTTTAGACCAGCGGTCCCAATTGTTTACAGCACAGCACTAATAAAATAGTGAAGACATAGCTGGTTGCTTTGTTGTAACTGAGATCTCATTCAAAATAAGTTAGATTTTTGTCTGTTTTCTTTGCATTGGAACTCAGTATGTGAGACTGGAGGTTTGCAAAGTAATGTATATTTACTCTTCATGAAATCAATGGAACTGATGAACTGCAGCAAAGTCAACAGTGATACACTGGGTACAATGAATGAATGAATGTCTGCACACTGTTATTATTATTAGACAATGATTAGTTCTGCAAGAACCTCCTCCTGCCAACAGTGATCTCATGTAACATTCTTTGGGCAATATTACGGTCATCACAAAATCTCTTAAACGTCAATGTTACCTTTTTTTGTGAACAGACATGCCATGATACATCATATGTTGTTTTTTGTACACAAATTATTTGTTTCCAAATGATGTTCCCTGTTATGATTTTTCTTCTTCCTACACGTTTTTATTTATTGAACATCGTGAAATCTAATTGCAGTATAATTAAGATTAAGAAACAGTTGAGAGTACAAGTTGTCACTGATTCTATGAGTTCATAACTGACTCTATTTGACAGCAGATTGGAGAAGCAGAGGTGTATGACAAGCAATTTTAAAAGATATTAGATAGAAAAGATAAGTGTGTATCTTATTTTATGTCCAGAATCCTCTTCCATAAGAAAATGTCTTATCTGTCTAATTATTTAAGGACATTTGTTTACTATCTATTTTTTTCTCAGAAGAGGATTAATGGCCTGTGAATTTGGGAATAAACCTTGGTAATTTGTTACAAAAGTTTTCTAAAAGTGTATCTTTTTCCCTGTTGAAAGACTGCAACCGTCAACATCCAGATGAATGTGAGGTATTAGTACCGTTTTCACGGAAACACGCCTGAGTTGGTTTCCACGAGGTCGAACTGAGCAGGACTGAGAAAGCCTCTTATCAGGATTACAGAAAGAGCGGCAGTTATTAATACACTTCTCCACCAACGGAGAACAGACTCTCTATCTGTCTCTCAACGTATCAGTGTGCGTTTTGCTACATCAAAACACAATCTTGAATTGAATTCAAGAAAGCAAATCGATGTTTCTGACCGGCAGTCCGTATCCACCTGGTCTGGCAGAACAACAGACTGTAGTTCATGTAAAAGCATCAATACAATGATATAAAGTATTGTGTACTTAAAGTATTAAATGTGCAAATCATTATAATATAAACACATATAATGTTTAATTTGAATAGAATTATAGATGGGTTAATGTGTTAACAGAATTGTAATGTACCTGACGTGGAGCTAGTTTTAACCTCTTTATATAATGCGGTAACAACTGGAATCACTCTGTGCTCAGGTGATTATTGACATCTGCATCTGGATCGCTAAACATTTTGTGCAGCCGCTTTCCTTTAAGTGTACAATCATGTTGACCGTGAACTAAATCTTTTGATTTATGCACTGTTCCCTCTTAACTTACTTATACCCAGTTACATATATTTAGATAATTATACCTATGCATATATTTTACAATGATTGCCTCTCTTATGATACCAAAATTGTATAAATATATCATATATTTTCTATTAATCCGGGTCATGTCTTTTTCGAGCAGGGGCTTAAACCAGAGGCCTGAGGTATATGAAGGTTTTATGGATACTACACAATGCCTGGCCATTGTGTTGTTGTTCTGTTTTGTTGTTTTCGACTAAATAAATCCAACTTAATGTGTCAGTAATATATCAATACAAACTCAATTTATAATATAAACGAAAACGTATGAATATAAACACTACATTATTAATAAAACAGTAATGTACAACATGTACACGGTATATTGTGTATGTTTGTACAATAGTGTATTGTTATCCTCTCCCCACCCCCTCACTTCCCTCCTGTTAATCCACCCGCAGCAGCGCAGTCGGAGGCCAACAAAGCACTACTTGGAAATCAATTGGATAGATTTTAAAACCAAACACTCGGTAAGCATGCTATCTCTGCCAGCGACGTTGAGTAGAAGTGCCTTGTCCGTATGATTTGATGTTAATAACATCGTTGTGAATATATTGTGAACCTATATTTTCATCCGATATTCTGCTGACGCTAGCCAGACAGCTAACGGACCGACAAAGTTGCCGTGACTTCCGTTATGCTAAGCTAAACCCGGGTAGCTAGCTAGCTAGCCTTACCTGTTTGTGATTTAAGGGGAATATAGAGGATTGGCTGGTAGTTATTGTGGAAACCCGAGCACTGTTGGCATGTTTGGTGTATGATATAATAAATATAGCGCTTGTATCCGGTTCTACCGTTCTAATAAAACCGCGAAGGCGTAAAGTGAGTGCGCTGTCCGGCTAACGGCAGCTAGCTGCTCAGCTACGGCAGATCAACCAGGGCTGTTGTAAACAGAACCTCGCTAACCGAAATCCAAGTCCGCACACACCGCTGCCTTTCACAATGTACCGCTACGAGCTAGCAAGACGTACACTTCACGCCTGTTTGGTCAAAGTTCCAATGTGGGGGTGCGGGGCAGATTTCTCAATCTTGATCCCGGGGCGGGTCACCGACGCCGGGGCGGAAATGTATGGCCGTGGAAGAGAGTTCCTTATGTGACTAAACATTTCCAGCCTGGAGAAACGTGAAGCGCTTCGGCTCTGGACTCTCTGCGCGTGTTCCATGTACGTAGACCAGTGCATCGTAGTGTCGTTACCACACGGAGTTAAACTGTTAGCCCCCGGGTGGCGTGTTTCGGACGGGCCGGGCGGTGTGTTAAAACTCAGCTGAAGTTCCTCGCGGGCTTCGCGGTGGAAGTTGCGTAACTTCATTCCTGAGTGCGATCAAATGGGGCAGATGGCAGATGGCCTCCTCACCTTCTCACCTCCTTAACCCCCGTTGTTGCCTGCAGCTATGGCAGCAATCAGGAAAAAGCTGGTGATAGTGGGAGACGGAGCCTGCGGGAAGACCTGTCTGCTCATCGTGTTCAGTTAAGAACCAGTTCCCGGAGGTCTACGTGCCCACGGTCTTTGAGAACTACGTCGCTGACATTGAAGTCGACAGCAAACAGGTACGAAGGATCTTCGTTTGTCTCACATTCAAAATCAGCATTCTGTAATAATGATAATGTAACAGCAAAGTGCTGGTTGTATTCACTTTCCACTAACTCAACAACGGTCTCTAGATATCTTGAATATTACACAAAATACTCTGACATAACGTCTACTTAATTCATATTCCATTTTATTTACCTTAAAGTTCACTTGTTGAATATTTATTATTATCTCTGTGTAACAGTGCATATGAATACTTTTTATTCAGTTCACTCCTTTATCTGAATTCCACAATGCAAAAATGAGTAGTTAATTCAGCTATTACCTGTGTAGTAATACAAATAAATATAACCTGTAGGACTATTCTATTTTGTGTAATGAATGCTAAAAGATTTTGCTAGCGCCAACAATATAGATTAAAAGGATTTTAGCAAAGTCAAATCCAGCCATTGACTGGCGACCAGTCCAGTGTACCCGATGTTAGCTGGGATAGACTCTGCCCCCCTCGACCCTTTAAGGATGAGCGGTATAGAAAATGACTCAATCTGTTAAAAACATCTTTATAAACAGTGACTGTATCAAGAAAAGCTGTTTTCATGTAAAGGGGTTTATAAGATTAGCAGTGTAATATAGCAGTATTTTATTTGCAGGATATTGGTTTGTATTACATCCGTGTAGCATCATATCTACAGACCTTTAGCTTCAGGTGGTTGATCACTTTCTAACCCTTACGACAGGTCGAGTTGGCACTCTGGGATACAGCAGGCCAAGAAGACTACGACAGACTGCGTCCTCTCTCCTACCCAGACACTGATGTTATCCTTATGTGCTTCTCCATCGACAGCCCCGACAGTCTTGGTAAGTTGAAGCTGACAATGTTAATATTTGTGGTACAATTTAACGTATTTCTACATGTAAACATCACGTAAATGCCCGCAAATGTTTTGCAATAGGATCATTTACACAGTAAACACAGTTCAGATGTAGTTTGCGTCGTATTATATTTAGGAGGGAAGGAGACGGAACATCCTACGATCCAACACACTTAACTAAAGATTCCTCACTTTACAAAATTGGCAACCTGTAGTTGTGTCAGACTGATGTTGTCCTTTGTCCCCTCCTTTTAGAGAACATCCCTGAGAAGTGGACTCCTGAAGTGAAACACTTCTGTCCTAATGTTCCCATCATACTTGTGGGAAATAAAAAAGACCTGCGTAACGATGAGCACACCCGGAGGGAGCTTGCCAAAATGAAGCAGGTAAAACCGTTTATAACAAACAGTCTGACAGTCGTGAATCCCTGTTTGCTAAAACGTACCCTGACTTTTCCCTAAAAGGAACCCGTGAAACCAGAGGACGGACGGGACATGGCTAACAGGATCAGTGCCTTTGGATACATGGAATGCTCTGCAAAAACAAAGGATGGCGTGAGGGAAGTGTTCGAGATGGCCACCAGGGCCGCACTACAGGCCAGGCGGGGAAAGAAGAGCAATAAATGTGCCCTACTGTAAACGGGGGCATGAGGACTGCTTCCTACAGGGGGACAGAAGGAGGAGCATTAGGTCAAACCTGCCCCCACACACCCACACAAAAGACTGTTCTCTCCAGTTTTTACTAAAGATGTAATGCTTTTACCTTTTTTTGTCTTAAGCAAAAGTAGTCTGTCAGTATTCAATTGAGGTTATGGAAAATTCTTTTTTTGTACTTTGACATGAGTAAATTTGCCATAATGAAACCTCCTTTATCAACATGTACTATGTAATCAAAGAGGTCGGCGAGGGGACCAGTTGAGTGTGTCATACCTGCCAACTACAGTTAAGTGCTGAAGCCTTGTCTGCTGATCTGAGGAATGTTTCCGCAGCCTACGAGGGTGAAGTACCTGTACGCTGTGACCCATAGTCTTTTAATTATTTCAACAGACCGAAGCACACAGTCAAATTTTGTTTGTGTGCTTCCTATAAAAATCCAATGTGCATTATGATCACTTGCACAATGAGACTGGAAACTCATTTTGTTAAAAAGCAAATGGAAACTTAGTGTTTTGTGTAATAAATTACTTTGTAAGAATCTTGATAATTTGCATCACTTACTTGCTAAACTTGGAATGAAACTTAACTCAGTGAGTTATACAGTTAGGCTTGGATACAGAATAAAGATTTTCTTCAAGAGTTTGGACAAAATGTTTGAGGGTAAAACTTTTTCAACTTCACACATGCGAGTCGTGGTCAGTGTCCTGATCAGCCTACAGTTGTATTTTAGATTAATCCAATTTATGAATGTAGCCGGACTTGGGCGATATTTACTTTTTTAAGTTCAATAATTATTTTAATTACTTTGGTTCATAAAAAGCTTCGATAAAAAGATATTTACCAAGCTTAATATGTTCCGTCTCCCCCCATTAAGCCCAAACTGAGGCTCAACTTGTCGGCAATGGTTTATTTAACATGCGTATAAAACAATACAGAGTGCACATTCTGTTCTTTGGCATTTCTTTCAAACAAAGCTCTAACATCCTTCAGTTTGGAAACCTTCAATAAATATAAATCACTTCTCAGTATAATACATTTGAACAGCACGTCAAACTAAAGCTAGTGGAAATGTCTTTAACATAACTACACTTTCATTCCCATTGAACGTCTGTTTTACCCACTGAAGCCAGTCCTGTTTGATCTATAACACAGCTGTGGGGGGGGGAGCAGCATTTCTCCAACTAACAGCTGCAACCAGACTGATGAGTGTCGTTGTGACGCTCATCAGTCTCAAAGTCAGTCGTTTTTCTTGGCTGGAAGTTGCGACCTGGCGAGAAACATCGGTAGCAGAGCAAGCGCCCCCAGAGCCGCGGCCAATAACGGTCGGTAAAAAAGCCAACCTGCGCCGATGGTGAGGAGGGACAGAGAGCAGGACACACACAGGGCGAAGACCTTCAGCCCCACAGACACAAGCTCTCTGAGAACGGGGACCCAATCCACTGTGGGCACACAACAGAATTCAGAACCAGAGCTGCAGGGAAAGACACCAACGCATGACACTGGATGTGCAGCAACAGTGAGTGAGTGTTTGTTTGTTTGTTTACCCAGTGTGTAGATGATACGCATGGTCAGCTGAATACTGAGGAACATCAGGGCCCAGCCTGCAGCCCTGAGTGCCCATGTCTTCATGCTGTTGTACTGCAGCTCTTTCATAAAAACATCCTACAGAACACAATACGACTGCATCAGTTAGAGGCAAAAAGCAAGACGAAGGAATGTAACCAGACACATAAGGGCATGGATGTTTAAACACTTCTCCCCCGCTCGCACCATAACAAAATCAAATAGACAAAAAACAATGGCAGAGACTAAATTAAATTCAGCCTGACCTCTGCAGAGAGCTCCTCCAGGTACAGGATCTCCAGAGTGTCTCCTGATTTGGTTCTAAAAGGAATCAGCTGCTCTTCTCTCTGCATGGCCACTACGCTGACCTGAACAACAGTGGACCGTTATCACATTGCACAACATCAACAAACTAAGACAGCATGTGCACTGCAGAAACAAATAGTTTCAAATATATGGCTGGTTGATTATTTAGTGGGCAGAAAATGTATCAATTATTGTTAAATAGTCCTCTGTAATGATGGTGGAAGTGGCTTCTCAAACATGAGTAAATATAACTTTTCTTTATCATATGTGACATAGCTGATGCATACAAAATGCTAATTTTGTAATTTATCCGACTCATAATAGTATATTGCTTTAGCAGAGTGTTTGATTACAGTAAATCAACATTATTTGACATTTTAAAGAGGTAAAAAAAGTGTTCACAATAATTGTTGGTTAGGGCCATGGTTTCGTCATCCACCATCATCCCATTTTTACTGACATTAAAATAAGTGCTGTAAGTAACTGATTAGACTGTTTTTGATTTACAATTTACTTACAAATTGTTTGTCAGGAGAGTTCTCAAAGCCCAACGAGGTTGTATCCATTTTCTTACGGAATTTGTCTAATTTAATGTTTATTAACTGGTCCATCCCCTTTATCAAATACTTTGATTTGATAAACACATAGTTGAAGTGCATTCAGTAAATACTTTTAACTCAATGACCCACTGATTTGTCAACGTGAGCGTGATGAATGTTGTAACTGGTCATTTGTTGCACTCACAGTTTGGGCCCGGCCGAGCGGAGACGTCTCTGCACTCAGTCCAGCAAAGGAGAATCTTACACGAACATCCCCAACCTTATGAAAAGAAAAAACAGCCAGATACTAAATAATATACAATACTGCACTAATTTAGTATTAGTACACAACTAGAACCCACAACGTAATGCATACGGAAAGTTGACATTGTAACGCTCACCTCTGGCCTGCGTGGGTATTGAGTGTGATAAAAATAATCAGCATCAATGCTGAGATAAGGAGCCAAGTGAAAGGGAGGAAAATCCCTTAGACTCAGTGTCTGGAAGTTATTAATCTGCTCCACGAGGCCTGAGAATGAAGAGTGGATTGAGTCTAGTTACACAATACAGTGTCCATATAGGTTCTGGATGTGTTGATGTCAGTAAAGATACCTTTAGACAGACTGAAAGGTCCAACTCCGACCTCAGGAGCCACGACTGTGACACTTTCAACTGCCATGGCACTACGGTTTAAAGACAAACTACAGATTAACTAGACACGAACAAGCGTAAAAAACAAAACATATTTCTAATGCCACAGATTATAAGGAGATCGTTTTAAAACATTTGAATACCTTGGGTTCTGGTGACCAATTTCTTCATCAAAATGACGACTGTTGACCAGCTCGGATTTCCACTCTGTGTCTAAATAAAAGGAATCATAGAGCTTCAATTCAGATTCGCTCATCTAGTGTGAAGCACACCATGTTGTTACCAACTCACTGTAGGAGTACGTTGTCTCGGTTTTGGTCTCCCCGTTCTCTTTGTAGTCCCTGAAATGAGTCACAGGGTAACAACCTTACCTCGGGGTGTATAACGCTTTATATAACTAGTTACATTTTGTACACATGGCTGCGCCCTTTTCTAAATATGCACACTTACTTGCTCTCCCGGTACTCCACCCACTGATACATCTCTACCTGCCTCCTCAGCTTCACTGCCTGCACTGCAATTCCGTAGTTGGGGTCGTGGAGGGGCTACACAGACACGGGAGCAGATGATTCATTAACTGAAGTCAAATTTACTGCAGCATTGATCTAATTTAGGTACAAAACAAATCACAGGTGATTGCTGTTACGCTTGTTTAAATCAACTGTGTCCCTCGCTCTGCGGAAGGCCAACATCCATCAGGTTTGACCGACATAACTTTGTAAAACAACTAAACTATCACCGTGTGGTTGGAGGGAGAGAATAGATTGCCAGACATTACAATCTACCTGTGAGGTGTGCAGCTGTGACGACAGGTGAACTAAGCGGTTGTTGTTCTGCAGGTCGAGGCTGGGAAAAGGCCCCAACGACACAACCTGAGAGAGACCCTCATTCAGGGAGGAGGCCGTTTGCAGAGCCCGTCCCTGAGATCAGAAAGAGTTGCAGAGAGTGAAGTCTAATGTCACAACAAAACAGCTTTCATGCAGCCTTTGCCCAACCGCGTGAGGATTTCTCACCTCGTTAGTAAAAAGAACATAGATCGAGAGGAAAAACAGTCCGACACCAGTGACAGTTCCTCCTGCGGTTTCACCCAAGCGCTCCAGGAATCCAGGGCTGGACTGAGCAGACACACGCTTGTGTTGATTTGGGGCTGAAAGCTGAGACAATAATGCAAGAAAGACTATGGTTAGATGACAACAACTGCCACGGCGCAAAATCCAGCAGAAAGATGGAAGCAAATATTTGAGGAGGAGTTGAACTTTAATCGTGAGCGCTGTAGCCCCTCGAACTTCAAATGACTAATGTCTCATGTGAATTATGATGCGATTAATTAAAAGTGGATAGTAATATAAGAACTTGTCATCTCTACGTTACATTACTCCAGGACAGCTTTTCAGACGTCCTATAAACAATGAATGAGGCCTCCTTCTTTGCACATTAGATATATTGATCCAACTAACTTGGTACTGAAATACTCCCACGTTAAGGTCACTACCAACGTTAGCTAGGTTTGGGAAATTTCTCTAATACTACCAGGATACAACTAGTCCCCTTAACTAGTCACCGTGTGTCCGTCACATGTCACAGGAATGAACCACAGACACACCTCTTCTGTTGTGTGATCATCAGCACGATGTGACCAAGTAACACTTGTGAAATGACATTTTAAGGCTCAAGCTAGACGTCGACCCAACTGGGGTCAAAACGTTACCTCGCCATTAACGTTAATGCTAAAGCTAGCTAGCATTGTTAGTCAAATTAACGTTGATTAATTAACAGCTTTAGCGTACTTTCAACCATGAGGTTAACTGGGTGGGGTGGGAGCGGTAGTTAAGACGTCAAGGCTAATTACAGGAACAGTTCGGTTGACGTTAATGTCTATCCCGTCTAACAAAGTCACTTTCACAGAACTTACGGTCGGTGCTGAAGACATATCCCTGACTTGTTTAACGCCGCGGTCAAATCTCAGTTTTAGGTAACTAACTTTAAGTTAAAGTTGGAGCTTTTTCAAAGATGACCAGCGAAACCTCCTCGGTACAGAATGCACTTTCATTTATACCCGGCGTAGACCGAAATTCACCCGGGGGGGGCGGAGTCGGTGTAAAACATCTGCCACCGCGCCGTCTGAGTGTCGCGGCGTCTTAAACAAGCAAGACCGAAAGAATACTTTTTGCGACCTGGACGTCTCCTTCTCAAAGCATCATGGGTAATTGAGTCTTTCTTTGCTCGCCGAGGGGGAGGTTCACGGCGCTGTAATTCTTTCAGAAATTACGTTTGATGGTTTGAGGGAATTTACATTTGTTTTTGTTTTTTTCTTTATTGTTGCTGTTCAAAGTAAATTTATTTTTTTATCCGGGATATAGGCCTTGTTGGAAAGTTTAATAAACATACATCATATGATTTTCGTTATTTGGTCTTGTTGGGCTTGGCGTTACTCATATACACATTCGTCATATTATCGTACCCAGAGATAATACATACAATGTCAAAAATGTCAGCCTACTGGTATCTTACTTGAATATTTCCACAGTGTGGTACTGTTGCTCCATCTGCTCGGATAATATTGTAATCTTTACTCCCTTTCACTCGCAGCAATAGATACACATACCTATCACACATTTTTATTTTGATCTTTTATTTATCATGAATTATCAACCTATTTAATTAATCCTGTTTGCATATAAAGTAATTCAAATTAGCTTAAATAATCTAAATACACAGTATTGCATAAGCATCAACAATCTGCCAATATCATATACAGTGTATCAATCTGCAATGACCTCTTACAGACGATCCCACACACACACACACACAAACACACACACACACACACACACACACATAGCACAGACGTGTCAGTCTTAAGAGGCTTATTGCAAAGAGGAAGACAAAGACATTAGTGTCACTTATTATCTACAGGCTACACGCAGGAAAGGCCCTGGGACTCAGTGAGGCACAAACAGGTTGTTAAGATGGAGGAATATGATATTATTGTGCTCGGAACTGGACTTAAGGTAAGAAAACGTATATTCATTGTAAAGAGCCCACTGAATGAGGGAAAATTGTACTCGTCATTACTGTTAACCTTTCATAGCAAGAATCTAAAGATTTACTGAATTGGCATTTCTTTTATGTCTTAAGTTTGTGCATGAGCAAAATAGTCACATTTGTACTGATCATCCACCTTCTGAGCTCCTGTTGGTATTTAAACATTGTTTAAATACCAACAAGTATTGCACAGTGTGTCACTGACTGTTGCACTCTCGCTCTCTCAGGAATGTGTCCTATCAAGTTTGATGTCTCAAAGTGGCAAAAAGGTTCTTCACATTGACAAGAACGCTGACTCTGGAGGATCCATTTCTCACCTCGAGGAGGTGGGTTCACACAAACACAAACATCGGCCAACATCCTCCGTTCGACAAAACTGCGGCTACTTTTCTCATTTGTCATGTTTCATTTTGTTTTATTTACAGCTGTTCAAGAAGTTTAAGGTTCCAGGACCTGCTAAGTCAATGGAACATGGAAAAGCATGGAACATTGACCTCATCCCCAAATTCTTTCTCGCCAATGGTAAGAGCAAAGTGCATGCGTACGTGTGATTTGTGCGTCATTGTAGTACGAATGAGGGCACTGTAATTTTCTGTATTCTCCTGCTGTGTCTCTGTATTAGGCGAGCTAGTGAAAATCTTGGTGCACACTGAGGTTACTCGATATCTGGACTTCAAAGTTGTTGAAGGCAGCTACGTATACAAAGCAGGCAAAGTGCACAAAGTCCCGAGCTCAGAGGAGGATGCCATGCACGCCTCAGGTGATGAACCTGAAGAACAATTAACGCACACTATTAATCAGAACTCCCTTTAATGGCGTTTTACAAAACATTTCTTTTACAGATCTGATGGGCATGTTTGACAGGAGAAGGTTCAAGAAGCTGTTGCTTTTTGCCCTGAGCTTTGACGTGAGAAACCCTCGGACCTGCCAGGACGTGGATCCTAACAAAATGACCACACGGGATCTTTTCTGCCGCTTCGACCTGGGTCTAGATGTCATGGAGTTCACGGGTCACGCCATAGCGTTACACGGCAGTGACGGGTCAGTGAAGAGAATGATAAAAAAACATTGCTAGGTGATCCTTTGAGTTAAAGCGTTCCTGGTCTGGTTTACTGTCTCCTGGTAACCCTGCAGGTACCTGGACCAGCCATGTGGGGAAACCATCAGACGGATCAAGATGTACTTTGAGTCTGTGTCTCGTGCCAACTCCAGTCCGTACCTCTACCCCGTGTACGGGCTGGGCGAACTACCACAAGGGTTTGCCAGGTCACAACATCGCTCATTAGATTTCTCCCCAAATACTTACAGGACAAAGTTCCAGTTTGTCTTCTCATTGTATTCAGTGAAGTGGAGGAAACATGGTGTGGGGTTCTACATTATGAAACAGATATTTTAGCCTTGTAGATGTTTGCATGGTTTTTACAATTGGCCAACAACAACCTTGAATGTGGAGCATCTCCAAGTTCATATTAGCCGACCTGTGTGTTTCAGACTGAGCGCAGAGTACGGAGGAACACTCCGCTTGAACAGAACAGTGGATGAGCTTGTGATGGACGATGGCAAAATAAAAGCTGTGAAGTCTGAGGGGAAGGCAAGTGGGTGTTGCTTTGGAGCACCGCTAGAACAGTTCAGATGTTTGGAGGAAATGTTCCGTAGCCCAATTGTGCACTGAGTGGTTTACATATTTTTCTCTGTTAAAACAGCTGTTCCACTGTAAACAGCTCATCTGTGACCCGAGCTACGTCCCCAATCGAGTGAGGAAAGTGGGGCGTGTGATAAGAGTCATCTGTTTATTGAATCATCCAGTTAAAAACACCCACGAGGCTCATTCTTGTCAAATCATCATCCCTCAAACACAACTCAACAGGAAATCTGGTAATCGTTCTATTTGGTAAAGCGTGAAAAATAAATCACGCATTCACTTACACGTGTGACTCAGATTCTTTATAAATAAGGGATTTCGGTTGAGTTTTGTCGATGGAAACGCTTCCTGTTTTGTCCACGCAGACATCTACATATCTGTAGTGTCCTACGCGCACAACGTGGCTGCAGATGGGATGTACATCGCCACAGTGAGCACGACCGCAGAAACCAGCAACCCAGAGAAAGAAGTTGAGCCCGGGCTGGAGCTTCTCAGGCCCATCATGCAAGAGTTAGTGACACGTTTCGATCTCCAACGTCACGGTTAATTTTGCAATTGCAATCCAAACAACATTTAATTGATGTAATTTTCTGTCACCGCCTGAATCTAGATTTGTTTCCGTCAGCAACATGCTAGTTCCCAATGAAGGCGGACAAAAGAGTCAGGTAATAAGGAGATTTCTGTGCCATCAATGGAAATCGAGCACTGGTTCACTGATGTCTCCTCGCTCTTTTGTCTTCATCAGATATTTGTGTCTCGCTCGTATGACGCAACCAACCACTTTGAGGCTGAATGTGAGGACATCAAAGACATGTACCAGCGGATAACAGGAGCTTCGCTTCGCTTCGGAGGATCACAGAGACACCAGTCTCACAACTCTGACGACGAGTGAGAGACTTTCAACACCAGGATCAAATAATTCAACAGCTGGGAGGCCGTAGTCACAATGTGGATGAATACCCCGGCTTTAATGCAGAGGTTGTGTTACGTAGCAGTTTGAGTGAATAGTGACTATACTGTCTAAATGTTTGGGGTCTACATTGTTTTATCCATTTCTCCTTTTTATGAGATTCTATAAACTGTTTTTGGAAACAGTTTATAGAATCTTGGACAATTTGGAAAAACATTTTTCATATTTTCCTTTTAAGTTTAAATCACCTGCATCTGTGATGTTGGTATGAAACAAAGAGACGCTCTTCAAAAACCAGGACAACCTTTTCTGCTACAAATTTGGCTTTTATTATATTTTATTATATTTGTCTAAACAAAAAATCTAATTTTATTGACTTCATCAGCTGAAACTGACAAAAATGATTAACGCTTCATCTAACATTGAAAGCTTCATCTTCAAAGCTTCATTATTAACGTCAATGTTTATAAACAGCATTAACTGGAGCCTGTTTAACTGGAATTGTTTTATTACTTTAAGCACCAATCAGTGCTACAATTTCTCAGCAGTAGCAGGTGAAAGTAATCACACAGCATGCGAACAACAGGGATTTAAATACTTCAGACACTGGCCACAGAGACAGATGATTACGAGATGAATCCCATTGATGTCTAGAGGATTTGTGGATTCTCTTATCCATGGGAGCTTATGTGTGAGAAGGACAAAGCCATTGAATGTTGTCCTGCGCTGTACGTAGCAGCGTGGAGGCGGAGGGTGGACAGACGCACAGAGTAAAGAGGATTATCCAAATGAACGAGTCACCACCAACACCTCGGCTAAAGGCCTGGAACATACTCATACTGAAATACATAAACCACTATTTACTGCACAGACAATCAGTGGCGGCTGGCCAATAGGGGGCGTCGCCCCACCTGGAGCACCTCTGCTTGAGCCCCAAAAAAAGAAAAGATCATACCAAAATATAAAAAAAATGACAATATTTGTGTTTTTGAAATATGGAATGTACACGGTAATATTTGTAGACTATGATATATGTGCAAAATATATGCTTTTCCTGCACGTGATACGGCTGTAATACGAACGTCATGTGAAGCACTTAAGCCAATCACTGATTAAATAAATAAAAATATTTGACGTAAAATGTAACCAATCAGCGTTCTTAAATAGACTCAGTCTGGGGCAACGTTGGTTTTGCCCCAAGCTTGCATGTTCTCGTCAAAGCTGCTATCAACAGACGGATGACATTCTAGATGACGTAAAGAGCACAGATCTTAACGCCATTCAATCAGACAATACGACTGACATTATATAAAGTACATATTTTATCATACTATTATTACTTGATATATATTAAGTTATACTGAACACCTGGAACATTTTCCACCAGCCATCACTGCAAACATTAGTGATTCACCCTTGTGTTTTTATAAATAATACATATTCTATATACCAGGAAAAGAAATGATGACACTTGAGCTTTTTGTTCCATGTAAAGCTTTTAAATATATATCGCAAAACACAGGATTTCTATACAAGAACAATGTTTACACGGTTTACTGCGTCTCTGAGCCAGCTCACTGCTCAGATCACTGCTTCACAGTAGCTGCTTTGAACATCCTCAACTAAAAAAAAAAATATATAGCGATTGTTCAGAGGCGTATGCCACACAGTTTGCTCCTTTGGAAGATTCATGAAGAAGGAGAATAACCATCTCACAGGCATAGGATCATTGAAAAGCTGATCATCTGACCATCTGCAGAAATCAGTCCTGTTCTGGTTGACATAGCAACACTTATTCTTGTACCGCCTCCAGCGCCGTGCTGATGGGCGGAGGGATCAGACCAGCAGCCGCCACCCTTCGCTCACTGGTCAGGAAGTTGAAGGTCGCACATGCGTTCGGCTGCAAAACAGCAGAGATGGAAAAAAGATTCAAAGCAGCTGGAGGAGTTTTAAGCTGTTGCTGGAAGTGTGTCGTGTCATCAATGCTGTCAGGAAGAATATAAGCACTTTTACCGTGTCCTGCACCTCCACCGCGATGCCTTTACGTTTGAGCAGAGCCAGGACTGAGGGTTTAATTCTTTCAACCCGTGAACCTGTGCCCAGCACAAGAATCTCTGTTCAATAAAAAGAAAACGGGTCAAATGACACCAGGACCTTTTTGTTGTTAAATACAACATTATACAAACCTAAATTATTGAAAGAGATTCAGAAAAAAATATGAATAACTGCTATGAACGATTGAATGAATGTAGAGACTTCCATAGAGGACACGCATCGTTTAATCGTTTGATGAATATAAGAATGATGTAAATGATGTGCTATGACCTTCATAGCTGCAAAACCTAATGTAACATAAATGGGGGCATTAGAACAACAAGCACTACACCACCATAAAAACACAGACGGAGTGAAAACCTTCTGGAAGATTACTATTCATCATACTTTGGTATTTGTGTATTAATGTGCTTTTATTTTAATGTTTTTTACCTATTCTTGGTTCTAGCATGTGGAAAAGTGAGACACTTTCTTCTGTGATGTCTTCATGACTTCCAACCTGCAGAGAGAGAGAGAGAGGGAGAGAGAGACGAACACAGATCGGTGTGTATGTTTGAATACAAAGCAGTAAACAACACGCCAAACTCTGAAGGTAGCGTGGACGTAGAGCTCACATTCCACTGGAGGATAGCAGGGGGCAGTACGGCACAGGGCCCGAACACCTTGTTGCCGTCGATGTTGAATCCTCTGGAACTGTAGCTCTGGATCATGACCCCACTGCCCGGCTCCTTCTGCATGACGGACACCGAGGTGCGCTGATACATTTCATCATCGCCAGGACCCAATCTATGTGAGCGGCACAGAAACGGGCTGCAGGTACAGACAGGTTAACTAGTTAGAACCAACGCCAGGTTAAGTACAAAAACAGGTAATTTCTGTTATTTATAGTGAGTACTAATAGGGCAAAGACTGCTTGTGGCATGGAATTTGAGTAATTATGCATTTATTGCACTGGTTTCGTCTGTACATTCTCAACTTTCGCGAAAAAAAAGGTTGCACAGCTTAACTCTTGCTATGTGGCCCACTTTCAAAGCCAAAATCCCAATGCCAACCTACTGACAAAAGGAGACTGCCAAAAGCTTTGGGCCAGTTCCTGCAGAAAAGGGGCAGCCAGGAAACACACATTTGTGCTCGTCTAAGGCGCTGCAGCGAATTCTAGTTTCCTACACTTTTGCTGGCAACTCTTAATATCTGAGATGTGATGCGCTGTACTTTCTTGTCAACTTCTGCCTCGCCAGCTTGTTTCTACATCAGCTAAAAAGAGGAGTCCTAAAATTACTGGAACTGAAAACGGAAAGTGTATGATATGCTGTCTGGTGTGAACATCACCAGCATTGCCTCCCTGAAATATGAATTGTATCCCACATGTCACACTCCTGCGACAGTGGAGGTATTTTATGCCTTATTAACGTCCTCGTGTCCACGCAGAGGTGAAGAAAGCCAGAAAGGAATAAGTAAATGATACACAAGCCTACCTCGAGAGAGCGGGACCTGCTCCGGACGAGAAGAGAAACCCGTGCGTTGATCTCTGGAGGAGCAATCTGCTGCACACCACAGCGGCCATACTGACCCAGCGGCGACACAGGAGGGGGACAACGTTCTGTGTAACACCGGACACCTGCTTCCGGTGTCATGTAACCACACACCCGAATATGTTACACTTTTAACATGCATTACGACCATGCATTACGTGTGCACTTTACCGTGTGAGTAAAATAATCACTAGGAATGAACAATGGTGTTAGTAGGAGCTAAGAGAAGTTTATGTTTTATATTATTTGATATGACTAGATAAATGCTCAGCTTCTAAAGCAGCGGATGTAAAGTCATAACGCCTCTTACAGGGAACCGGGACGATCGTGGGAGGAACCGCTCTGCCCTCGATTACAATGCCTGGGGGCGAAACAGCGCCGCTCGCGGTGTTCAGAGGCAACAGTCGCGGGTCAGATGATCCCGGGAGCTACATTGTAAATAGACAGCGACGATCCACCGGGGACATGCTTTTATAGATTCTTTAAATCCACGCCGACGGAGCAGATATTTACGCCCCGCCCGAGACTCTACGTCTCAGTAACCGATTCTTTGGCTGTTTCGGGTGATTTGGGTGCGTGGAAGTCTTATCGGAGTATGTACCGGTCTCTGTACGCCTTCCGATCCGCGGAGCCCAACTCGCTGCACTTCGCGGCCGGAGAAAGCTTCCTAATCCTGGAAAGGAGCAACAAACACTGGTGGCTGGGGTCCCTCTGCAGCTCGGGGGAAACCGGCTACATCCCATCGTCATACATCGAAAAGATACAGGTAAACACCGATCCGTGACCGGGGTGCTTATTCCGACAAGCGGTGACCTTATGTCGCATCGTCAGGTGAAGGGAAATCTGGTGAATGCGTAGTGTCGTTGATGGTTGGATTGATGGGATGAAGGCAGATCCCACGTCGTGCTGTGTGTACCGCAGTGTTTGCATTATTGTCTGGAAGAAGATGCACTCTTGCGGAATAAATGACTGGAAACGTTGCATTGGGTTTGAGACCTTCTGCACTGCAGCTGGTCACTGCGACAGAGAGCAGATGCACACAAGGATGTGAGATGAGTTGAAATAGAATAGGAAATGAAACCGGGCAGACCCAACGACCACAGACCAACAACAGAGCATCTGTTTCTGCTCAAATTAAACTCTTCTGCTCCTCTGACTACGTCTCTATTTTATTCATTAATATTATCATTTTAAGAATCCTTCTCAACTAAACTACCCTTGTTGAACAAGTATCTTCCACATGGCTTTTCTACCCACATGTGCTCTGCAGTAAAAAATCCTTGTTATGTAGCCGTTCCGCTTAGATTCAGGATCCGTACAGTGAACTAGAGCTTTTGTTCCACAGGACAGGAATGTTGTTCCTGTTGTTAATGACATTAGCTTCGGAGGTTTAATGAGCCTGAATGGGAGGCCTCACTAAGCACGCGTGTCACGGTTTAAAAGGCAGTTTTTGTTAATAGATTTGATAACTGCCCTAGTTTGTTTCTGCCTGGAGTCACACATGCCCACAGGCCACAAGTCTGTTCCATTATGTTTAAAATTTGATATTCATGTCAATTAATATTTAATTTGACCCTTATTTTCTCTATTTTTTTTCACTTAAGGCTCCGGAGCAGGATGAGGTGTTGCAGTCTATTGACAGAGCAATTGAAGGCATCCACAACGTGGCCTTAAAAAACGGAGGCAAATACAATCTGGAACAGAGAGATGTTCTCCAGTGAGTCAAAATGCACGTTGCAAGATGCTGGTTGGGTCTGGCTTGTTGTATAAATCATTATGGTCTTCCGTTGCAGAAAGTTGATCCATCACAGAAAGGAGACGCTGACCCGACGAAGTTCCTCTGCCTCCAGTAACAAACAAGGCCTCCCATCCTCCAGCAGCGAAATATCCATCAGTCAAACTCCTCCTCCGCCCAACGGCCTTACCCGGGACTACGGCCGGCAGGGGAACGTGCCGTTGTCCCGAAGCAGGGACGACATACAGGCGGAACCGGGTTTCTATCAGGTGACAAGAGATTTTATTTAAAGCCACCAATTAAGTTTAAGCTTATGCAAGCTTAAAATATTAACAGAACCCACATACATTTTTCATACTTACGAGAAGCGCCGGCATATCGTCATCTGTCTCTTATCTCTCTCGGTTTTGTCTATTAAAGAACTCACTGGGATTAAGAAATGTCTTCAGCCTAAACTGAGTGTTAAATATGTTAGAGAATAGATCATGAGAGAGGAATGTTTCTCTGACAGAGCAACACACACACAATGTACCCTCAAATCAGCCAGTTTGTGTTTCGTTTCACCTCCTGTAGGTGCCTCCTCAAGCTCGACGCGCGGCTCCAATCACTCCACCCCCCCCTGAGAAACAGCGCAACGGCCGGCGTCCAGGTGAGAACAGACCCACAAATTACAGCTCAGTGATTTTGCAGCTACTTCACAAACACTCTATTCTTAGTCGGGTCATTCCTGTTCCCTCTCCTCCCTGTAACTGGAGCTCTCGTTTTCTCTCCCTCAGCAGAGCCAGAGGTCCCCTCCAGACTGTCCTCTCTCCCTCCGTCCCCCGCTCCCTCCCTCGCGACCAGCACCGCCTCTTTAGAGTCTGGCTCCACCCGCTCCCTGGTCTCCTCCGATGTCAGCTTGCCAAGTGTTTCCAGCACCCCCCCTCCTCCCGTGCCGTCCCGCGTGAAGCCCGCTGCACTGCCCTCCGACTCCCCTTCTCAGCCGCCTCCTGCGAAGAAGAGCCCAGCCCCGCAGCCTCCCGGTGTCACCCCTCCTCCCTCGCGGCCCCCCGCCGAGGAGCAGCCGGAGAGCGACTGGCCCGTTGCCCCCCCTTCCATCGCCGAAAGCCCCCCTGGCAGCCCCGCAGCTTCTGAGCCAGTTCCCATGACGATCGGGGCCGAGCTGATCGAGCTGGTCCGGAAGAACACGGGCTTGAGTCACGAGCTGTCGCGGGTCGCCGTGGCCGTGGTGGTCGGCCACCTGCAGGCCGCCTTGCCTCCAGCCTCGTCGGATTTGGAGCAAGTTCTCCTCTCGCTGGTGAAGAGCAAGGTCAGGTTTTGTTTTTTTTCGTTACGTCATGTGGATTCAGGAGGAGAAGACCGGGGTCGCTGAGAGCTACAGCTCATTCGTCATTCAGCTGGCGTTTCCTTTTGGGACTCTCCCACAGTATCACTCACCCACATGCTCATTTTATGCTTGACGTAGCTTGAATGAAATTTCCGGTACTTTTCTCGCAGATCTTACTGTCAGTGGAAGGTGGTCGATAGAAGGTAGCGTGACATGTAATGAAGTTCAAAAAAGACCGTAGAAGTAGTTTTAAACTCAACCAAATTGAACTGAGAATTACAGAGAATCACCTCTTCTTGTATCTCATACTTTGCAGCTGCATGCAGACACAGATGTGGAGCACAGAAGCATCCTTTAAATCTGCTCTAATGAGTATTTCCATTTTTCCATTAATTGTGATGGTCGTTCAAAGTGAAAGAAATAGACGCGCCGTGATGTTTTCTGTCCCTGCAGGATGTGAGTGCAGCGCTGCCGCAGGGTCAGGTGTGTCACGATGAACAGAGGCTGGAGGTGATCTTCAGCGACCTCGCCCGACACCGGGACGACTCTCAGCAGCGCAGCTGGGCGCTCCATGAAGACCACGCTCTCATCGCCTGCTACCTGGAGGAGCTGCTGAAGATACTGGTAAGGATGCGGTGAGCTCGTTCCTGTTTCTTCCCGCAGATCCCTTTCCAGGACTGTTTCAGTGATGATCTCGATGTTGTGACACCCCTACGGATCACATCCCAGACTAGTGGGTTCCTCTCTGTGGAAGTCTGCTTAATCTTTGTGAACAGGGGGACCTATTTATTTTTATCCAACTGTCCCAACACTGAGCATTGGGCTCATTCAGACTTTATACTAGCAGCTTTTTCGAAATACTGTTATACGTTAACTACCATTTGAACGTTAATGTGATCAAGAGCATGATGATGAAAATAGGAGAATGTTTAAATATTTTCCACCACTGAGCAAGTTTTTCCAGGACATTAATTTTCTATACTTCTTTAATGACTGAACCCAGAGTGAATTCTTGAAACAAAGCGAATCTCTGTTTTCTTAAGTGTCGGAAGATGTGACCGAGGTCCTGATTGACTGTCAACACACAATAAAGGTGGCAAAGTGATACACAACAGATACACATCCCAGTGAATGTGAAACAAGCAGGATTGTAACACAATAACATAGACGGGTAAAACATCACCAGTCCAAACCCCCAGTTTTGCAAGGTCGGTCGGTTTTTAATGAAAACATATTGAGTCACTGATTCAACACGCATTAGTAGGAGTTTTTGAGTTGACATCACTGGTTCATCCTCATTCATAATGTGAGTATATTATCTCGTGATGAATCCCTGATGTGACCACAGGACCCGTCCAGCTGTCTTGCTGTAAATACCGGACGTGTTTGATGGGATTAGACCGGCTCAGACGACTTTACAAATCCATCACGGCGTTTAAAGACTGAATCTGTAAACGCTCCAGGCTGCCAAATATTCTTTGCTGGCAGTTTGTCCTGAACCTCAGGGATGAACTGTCTAAATGCGCGTTCAGCGGCTTCACGATCCTCCTGCGGTGTGTTCAGGGACCACGACCGCCGCATGGATTAGAAAGTTACGTAGTACCGATGTTATTACGTCATCGTTGTTACAACTCAAAGGTTTTTTTATGTTTCAGACTGATGCAGATCCAGAGGTCTGTAAGAAGATGTCGAAGGCCAACCACTACGAGAATGTGCTGTCTCTGGTTTCATACTATCAGATGGTAAGACGTCATAAAAACAACACCTTTTATTTTGAACACTATTAACTTTAAATTAATCTGTAGTCAAGAGAAACATGAAGGTATGAGGCCCATTGTGTAAATAGGTCTGCAAAGATAATGTTGTCTAGTTTCTATGGTTAAGAGATTCTTTAATATACACAATATCCAGTTTGTGTTTGTTGTTAACTACGTAATGTACCGAGAGGGAACTCGATTTCAGCCTAATTGATCTCATCGTTATTTTTATTATTGTGATTATTTTCATCATGTGACCATACAGGAGAATCGCGTCTCTTTACGGCTGCTGCTGCTCAAAGTGTTCGGGGCGATGTGCAGCCTGGATGCTTCTCTTATCTCCACCCTCCTCAACTCCATCCTCCCGATGGAGCTGGCCAGGGACTTACAGACTGACACACAAGGTGAGACTATTTACCTTCGACTCCATCTTGTTCATCTGCACTACCCCCCCATCCTGGATAAATATGACTTTTTCTTTGCGTTTGTTCCTTCCCCAGAGCATCAGAAGATGTGTTACACTGCTTTAGTACTCACTATGATCTTCTCCATGAGCGAACAGGTGCCATATCATCACTACGGTATGCTATTTGTAATGCGCTATATAATGGAACATGTGTATTTTGCAACTGCATATCAGGTTGAGGACACAAAAAAGGACCCTCCCTGATGGTGATCCTTCCAAAACAATAAAAAACAACATAGTATTTGTCTATTTGACCACACGGTTTTCACTTTAGGATTATGAATGTTTTTCCTGATTTGAAGGTTTAAAAGGGATAAGGGCTCTTTAATCAGGACATAATCCTCACCCTCCCTGCTTTCAGAGCACTTGAATGCGGACTTTGTCCAGTTTCTGCTCGGTGTGGTGGAAGACGGACTTCCCTCTGATCCCACGGAGCAGCTGCCCGACATCTTCCTGAACCTCCTGCTGGCCTTCAACCTGCACCACACATGTGAGAACAGCCGCCATGGAGCCGTTTCACAGCAGACGTTATGAACGGTCGTAGCAGGGAAAGCACAACGAGAGTGTAAATCATGATGTTAAGGGCAGCTGGGCGAGGCGTGTTGCTTTTGGAAGCAATATAAAATGTATATTAGACATGGAGTCAACCTACTTGGTTAAGTGTTTTATTGCAAGATTGTATTTTTCAATAAAAATACAGAAATAATTTTATTAATCAGCAGAACAACTCTGGGTAGATTGAGTTATGCATTGTTTTAACGGTCTCCATATTTGCTTTTCTTTTCTTCTCCACGTCGTCCAGCACCCGGCAGCAATGTGATAATGCAGGAGCTGAAGAAGAAGAATTTCAAGATCCTGTCAGAGAAAGTGCTGCTGCTTCTTAACAGAGGCGGTAAAAATACCCCCGATTGTCACATTTCCCATTTTGCATCCATGCCTGCCGTCTTCTGACGTCCTCTCTCGCTCGGCGCCCTCTGCTTTCCAGACGACCCTGTGTGTATATTCAAACACACGCCGCCTGCACCGCACTCGGTGCTCAAGTTTCTGCAGGATGTTTTCGCCAGCCGGGAGACCGCTGACATCTTCTACTGCTCTGACATGATGGTGATGATTGACATTGCTGTTCGACAAATATCTGACCTTTCGCCTGGAGACAAGGTGAGACCTGGACACAGCTACTGGTTGTTGTCAGGCTTTTAAGGAACAATCTCACATCCATGGAACACAGTCTTTTTTTGTAATTGCATTTAATGGACAGATATAATATAGGAACAGACGTTCTCATCTGTATAACCGTTTCTTCTTAAATGTGAAACTATGTGTTTAATAAAATCAAAAGCTTGTTGTCTGATTGTAATCTGCTCTCTTGCCCTCCCTGTGAAGCTGAGGATGGAGTATCTCTCCCTCATGCACTCCATAATACGCTCGACGGACTACCTCGAGCACCAGCACCGCCTGTCCGACCTGCAGGGGGTGCTGCAGAGGATTCTCAGGGAGGAGGAAGATGCAGGAGAGGACGAAGGGAGCGCCACAGCAAAACAGATGGATAAGCTGATTGTACAGCAGATCTACAAGGAGTTCCCACAGATCAACGAGAACCACGACTGACGATAACACCAACGTACTCACACACTCTGCTCCGGTCTACCGGAGGGAGGTACAGTAAAATGCTGAAAAAACAAAGAGCTGGCAGTTATTGGGACACCACTGTATTCTGTGCCATCATGTCCTGAGACGAGCTAATCAGTTTCGCCAATGTTTTCGCGGACTCAAAGTCCAAAGCTGCTGCATGCATGTGATGTTGGTATTAGAAAATGTTTTCTGTTTTTCACAGATTCTTCTCTCTCAAGTCAATTTCATTTGAAAGCTAAGTAGGTATTTCTTTGATTCTGTGGCGATGGTCAAGATGGAAAAATGTGTGACGAATGCACGAGAAAAAACATGAGGTTTAGTCACACTATTAGATTCAAAATAGCGAAACAATAGGCCAAAATACTGGGCTGTTTCACAGTTAATTCATAGCAACAATGACTTTAAAATCATTCAATAACTTCTGTATTTACTTATAGTATTAAATATATATTTAACCAAATTTATTTTACAATAAAATGATAGATTTTGAATAAAAAAAGAGATTTGAAGTCACGTTACAGATAAAAGTGCCATTATTTGAAATGTCGAGAGAATAGGTCATGTGCTTCCCTTGTAGTGGGACCGAATTACTGTGTTACTGCAAGCAGTATGATCTGAACAGAGAATAACACTTAAAAGTGACTTCGTCTTTCATTCACCCCTTCATTCATAGAATTAGAATTAGTTATTTAGGTTCACTATTCTAGTGAGAGAAAAGCACACTGACTCATGTGTTATAAGCTTTGAGCTGAGGAAATTATTGCACATATTGAGTCTTTCCTGTAGCTCCGTCTGCAATTTTCTCAGTCCGGTACCTTTGTCTCTTCACTGCTTATCAAACATTTTGATGATCGCTCTGTATGTGCATATGCAAAGCTCCTCTTAACATACAGAATTATTGATCGTTCCTAGATTAACCTTTGTATGTTGCATTCACATTCAAACTAATTGTGCCATAATAAGGCTTTACATAGCAACTTGCAATATGCTCAAAAATACCAATAGTCTTGGCTTTCTGGAAGTAATAATAACTGCAGTTATTATTCCCCAAGATGATACATTAATCACTGTTGTTTATTTCTAGTTATTATCTGATGCTCCTATTGAAAAACGTCCTCGTGGTTTTAATACTTTAACCATTTACCTTTCTTTGTTTCTTCCCAATAATGTAATGATTGATGTCACCACCACTTACACTTTGACATATTTGTTTTTGTCTCTGGCATGGCTATTCTGTCTGGAGTTAATGTAATCCAGAAGTGATATCAGTTTTCAGTTAATGTCCGAGGGTTAGTTTATTGGTTATTTGTGTGTCTGTTTACAGTGGGTGTGAGAGAGGTGAAGGTTCCTTCTTTCTATGATTAACATTGTCTGCTAAAGTGCTACAACAGTGTTATAATCAAACTAATAAAGCTATATTTTAACAGCGGGAGTATTTGGATTGTTTGTTGTTGATTTTGTTTGAGATTTTTGTGAACATGTTGTGGGTCAGACTGTTACAAAAATGACTACATTTTTAGTTTCTGTAAAAAAAAAAGCTACCTTTTCACAAATTGAGCAAACAAATATTACCAATAATATAAGCGGTCACAGTAAAACTAAATTTCATAGATCCTTATTTCTTTATCAAAAGTACTTCTCTACAGAATATCACCTAATTATCTCTAGCAACACGACAAGTACAGTTTTTCTTCTCTTTTAGATTAATGTTATTGAGAAACATACAACTAAAACTCAAATATAAATTCCTTTAGACAGTTAATATTCACAAATCAAAATAAATAACTATAATAAGCTTTACATTGAAAAACCTCCCCTGCAAACACATAACAGTCGCTAACCGCTAGGTGAAGCCAAACTAGATTCTGGAGAAGAGGATGATGAACAGGCGAGTCTGGTGGTTTGGTAACTTTGAAGGTGAACTGTTCCAGTGACATCTGATAGCTGTGAATAAGTTAACTGTAGTGTCTAAATGTTCAACTTCAACTGGGTTACAATTATGATTTTATATTATAGAATAACAGAACATCCTCCTCTTCCTCTTATTCTTTTTGCATAATTTATATATACACTATACAAAATGGAATCAAAAACACTAATGTAACTAAAAATATTACTTAAACAGGGTTTATTTTTTGAAATACGCTTGAATACAATTAATTTCGCACATCCTTAAATATATTCGATAACAACAAAAATGTGTACATTATACTTTTGTACATATAATATTATTATATATTAATAGATGTTTCCATCGAGCAGAAGTCACCAGTTTCCACCCGGAAGGGAAACAGGAGCGTACCAGAGTGCCGCTGTGTCGCAGTCAAAGCGCTCCGGGTGAATAAGTGGGTGAAAGGTCTGTCAGTCAGGAGTGACAGCAGCACGCAAACGCACCTCACAGGAACGCCGTCGACCAGGTAATATGTCGCTTATTCGTCCTTCTCCGTGTATCTGCGGCTTGATTTCATTTTCAGGGCCGGTTTCATTTAAGTCTGTTTGTGTTTTAGAAAAATGTCCAAACAGCAGCAGATCAGTCCGATGAAGAACTTCTTCGCAGGAGGCTTCGGCGGCGTCTGCCTCGTCTTCGCCGGACATCCACTCGACACCATAAAGGTGATTATTCAACTCCCGTGTCTCACCTGCAGCACGCACCTAATGAGACACAAGCACGAGGGCGCATCCGGTGACATTGCGGACATCGGAGCCGGTGACCGGAGAGGCTGTCAGCAGCAGTGTGGATGTAAATATGAAGGCACCTTTGACCCACTCTCACTGTGTTACACGACACACTGCTGGGCTTGTGTCTGCATCACCTCTGAATTCAAGGTGTTACCTTTGATAGAGCGCCGATCCATCAAACAATTATATATGTATACATATACATGAGGTGATTTTAATAATAATGTAATTGTATCTCTATTTGTTTAAGTGTAACCTGCCACTTTGAGTGAGTAGAGTTGAAAATATAGTGCAAAATATTATCACATTAAAACATTATGACAAGCAGACAAAGAGCAACATCAGCATTTATTTAGAGGAGTAAATAACGTAGATTGACTCTAAATCGTGCACTGATACACTTGTTCGCCCATCTCAAGGTGCTGGGTGGGGTTGAGGTCAGGGCTCTTTTCTTTATGGAACTGGCTTTCAGGGGTCACAGATTTGGGTCCAAACTGCTGCGGCTGTGATGCTCTATTGTCTGTGTGTGAGGTCCATACAAAGTGCATTCTGTTTCCTCTCTCAGGTGCGTTTACAGACACAGCCCAAACCCAAACCCGGAGAGAGCCTCTTGTATGCTGGAACCATTGATTGTCTCAAGAAGACCTTCGCCAAAGAGGTCAGGATCCATGCTGCCTCTTTATCTGCAACGTTATCGTCTAAAATGTCTTCCTTCGCTCCTGCTCATGTTGCCTTCTCTTCTTCCTCCCTCACAGGGTCTGAAGGGATTCTATAAAGGCATGGCAGCGCCGATCATTGGAGTCACACCCATGTTTGCTGTCTGTTTCTTTGGATTCGGAATGGGCAAAAAACTACAACAGAAAACCCCCGATGACATCCTTACGTCAGTGATTGTCCCACCGTAGTTCGTGGTACTGATTATTAAGCTCTAACGCTCTATAGGTGATAATATCTAAGTATGTTGTGTCCCCTGCAGGTATCCACAGCTGTTTGCTGCAGGCATGTTGTCTGGTGTGTTCACCACGGCCATCATGGCTCCGGGAGAGCGCATCAAATGCCTCCTACAGGTCAGAGGTCACGTGTTTTGTACACTATGTGCTCCCCACTGAATTATAGTAGATTCCACATGGCGCAATGGAATATCAGTGGGGGTAAAGTGTGTGTTTTTGTGTGTGTGTGTGTGCAGATCCAGGCATCAACAGGAGAGGTGAAGTATGCCGGACCCATGGACTGTGTCAAACAGCTGTACAGAGAGTTTGGGATCAGAGGAATCTACAAAGGCACCGCGCTGACTCTGATGAGAGGTGCGGCTGGTTAATAGTAAACCCGAGACTTGGATCATAAAATGAGAATAATTCTCTTAAAAGGCTCCTGTGTGGAGTTTTCCTCCATACAAAGTTACTGTTTCGGTACTTTGAATCTATATTTTTCTCATCTCACTGCATTTGCTGGTGCAGTTTTGCATCCCCTGGAAATTCAAACTAACTCCTGCTGACCAGAGGAGCTGGGTTGAACAATCGACACAGATCTGACATTGTGTGTGTGCACAGAAACAAGACAATCATTCTTGGAAATATCATTTGTAATTCTACTAGAGAGGTCACTCAAAATGCGTTTTGAAATAGTACTACTGCATATGCAAACTTAAAGTTGTATAAAATGTAAAGTTTGAATCTGGGGGTTTTAGCATAAAGCTAGCGGACCAAGGCTACGTTAGCAATTGCTAGCATAAGACACTTTTTCACAATGTGTTTACATTATTTTGTCTCCAATCCTTTTAAGGTGGTTTATAATCATGTTTTTAGATACACACACATTCATGTCAAACCTCTCCTGTTCTGTCAGAATATCTGACGTATATTTATTATTCTAGAAATATTAAAATGTTTTCATATGTCACTCAGATGTTCCGGCGAGTGGGATGTATTTCACTTCTTATGAGTGGTTGAAGAACGTCCTCACACCAGCAGGGAAAAGGTGAATATTTTTTACTTCTTTATTTAGCTCTTTAGTTATATTGTAAGGCCGTTGAGTAGTTGGACCTGTTGTCTCCTCCTCGCAGCCATAACGAGCTCAGCGTTCCCAGTGTGCTGTTTGCTGGCGGGATGGCTGGGATCTTTAACTGGGCGGTCGCAATTCCAGCCGACGTGCTCAAGTCTCGTTTCCAAACAGGTTTGCTTTTAGATTCTCCAGATATTTTTTTAGGCAGAAATATCCCTTCGACCGCAGTTTCTTACCAACTCTGAAATCTTAGTTTTGGCATTTGTTTAGCACAAGTGTCTTTGTGCGAGTTTTCTAACGCTTCCCTCCCTCAGCTCCTGAAGGAAAGTACCCCAATGGCTTTCGGGACGTTCTGCGGGAGCTGATCCGAGAAGAGGGCATCGGCTCTCTGTACAAAGGCTTCAACGCCGTCATGCTGAGAGCTTTTCCCGCAAACGCCGTGAGTGTTCTTCATTTAACTTCTAGCACATACTGCGAAAAAAAAGCAGCTCCCTTACAAAGTCAATACTGTGGTGTGCAGTATACTACTTCCTTACAACATGGCACCTCGAACTTTGACCCTCCTGCTCATAAGTCTGCTGTGCAAAGGATTCTGGGTCAGAATAGCTAGAGAATCACGCTGGCTTGCATGCTGCAAAAGGCCGTCGGATACAGTAGAATATTCTGGTGTTTCTGGCATACTGCCTTTGACACGCTTTGTATTCAGACGTACTAAATAGTACGGTAGTATATGTATTGGAATGTTTTTGCACTCATACCCGTCATGCTTTTATGTCTGGAAATGATTAACAAATAACAAATGACACAGGAGCAATCCTTCTTTTTCTATTCAGAATCACATGCTTTTCAGATCATATTTCATGTATTTAAGCGGCTGTCAACAATTACCGTCTAAATAAAAGTTTGCATCTTTATATTTGGTAGTGGGCTCTACAGCTCAAACAATTGATCAATTAATTTACTGACACAAATTGAAATTCTTGGAAAAATGTTCAGGGCAAAACAACAAACGTTTAAACAATTTTAAAAACGTTTGAACAGTTTAAAGTCCTCTTTGACCTCATTGATGGAGGTACCATGGATGGTGCGAGATGGATGGTAATCAATAATGAAAATGAGTTGGTTAGTTTCAGTGCACAGTGGCAGAAACATCACTTACATTGTCAGTGTCTTAAAGCTCCTACTAATGAAGGTTGAGTTTTTAAATACAAGGGCCTCTTCATATAAAGTCATCCAAAGGTTTTCCATATTTAACTTCAGAATTTAGCTCAGCTTGACAAAGGAATTCATGGAAGCTCAAAAGTTCTGTTTTTATACATCTTTATTTTTATTTTTTCAGGCTTGTTTCTTAGGATTTGAATTTGCAATGAAGTTCCTGCACTGGATGGCACCGGACCTGTGAGGAAGTTTCAGCATCGCCTCGTATGGGAATCCCAGGAAAATAACCGTTTAATACGGAGCAGTTATTAGCGACACACACACAGTAAATCTCAGAGAGATTTTAACAGGTTTCCAACTATGTACTTGATTATCTTCGAACCGCGTACTGTAGAGCGTGTGGATCATTCAGACGTGTGGAGGAAGCGGAGCAGACATGTTGTGGTGACTTGGTACCAGTGCTTAAACATAAACACACACAAACAGATGCACGTTCTCACTCCTTTTCGTTTTAAATTTTGATTTCTCTTTTATTGTTGTTTTTGTATAAGGAAAAGGGGTGAAGAGAACATGCTGTGCCTTACCTTTCGTTATCTGTGAGCAGGTGTACATATCAGGGAAAAGGTGATGTAGGTTTTACTGTGTTCCATCAGTCTCTTGGCAATACACACATTTTAAATTGTCTGCTTCCTGCGAGGTCACCCCCCCCCCCCACTCAGTGACCACCAAAGATAGCTACTCATTCTGTTAATTATGAGAGTGGTCATAGTGAGATTCACTAAACTACATGAATGTTGAAATGTAAAGAAATTAAAAGATAGAATCCATATTTAGAAATGATTGTTGTGCACTTCTTTCTAAATTGCGTAATTTGGGGATCTAAAAAAAACAGGAGCCTTGACTTTCCATGCTAACTAACACAGAATGATAAGAGACAGATAATTATGCGAAAAGAATGAAAATGCAAATCACATAGTAATTCGAAGCAGTACAACTGTCGTACATATAAATAATAGATTATTACAATAATTAATAGAGGGTAATTCCACAAATGGCTTTTCCATCTGCAACAACTAATTGTAACTGAAACCACTTAAACCTCTTTTCTTTCATTTTGATTCAGACTTTTGGATCTGATGGTTTCGTTTTCTGCATGTTTTTTCACTCTCCCTCGTATCTTTGCCGAATCATCAGGCTTTGAGTCGTAATCCATCGGACAGCCTTTAATTACACGTGACGTGAAAAGTCCAAGTCAATACTTTCCGACAGGCCGTGCCACATAAATAAATCAATAATCTGCTGAAGCTTTGGGGGAGAGTGGGCCGAGAGGAGGGGCGGTCACTTATCTCCATGTATGTTCATCCAACCCATCGGATAAGCTGATGCTTGGATATTGTCAAATCAAAATATTCGCCGTTTTTAGATTTGTGCTTATTTGTGAGCTATCGAAGTCCCGTCTGCGGCCCGTGAACCTGAACGATGAGTAGCGTGGAGATTCCGGCCGGGTTGAAGGAGCTGCTGCAGGGCTACACGGTGGAGGTGCTTCGCCGCGAGCCGCCGGATTTGGTTGAATTTGCCGTGCAGCATTTTACACGAATTCTGGAGGGTCAAAAAAAGAACCGAGGAGCCAAGAAACGCAGCACCAGACCTGCCCGGAAAGGAGTGACCTTTGACACGGTGTCGAACAAGCCCAGTAAGGTTGATGATGATGAGGAGGAGGAAGACACTATTAGTGAGTAGTATCGCATCCTTTTGTGTTTAAAAACATTTCTCCATGTTCTCCACAGTCATTTTTGTGCATGTCTCCGACTCCAAAAGCTTCAAGGTGACAAAAATCACACAAAGGACAAAGAGAAACTGTCCAGCCAGAAACGTGAAAGCTCTCATTGATGCAAAGTTGTGACCTAAAAGTTTATAGTCTGATCAACATCCACATGAACAAAGAACTGGCTCCACTAGAAGAACGTATGATACAAAATAACTTCAACTCAAGGATTTCACCAAAGAATGTGCAGAAGAAGCATCACAGGAACCGTAACAATGAGGTATAATGAGCTTATGCGCTCTTAGACTTTATTAAACCCACCTCTGTCTCTGTCTCTGCAGAGTCCACCACCAGTAAATATAATCGCAGAGTTTCAGGTCAGTAACTGAATGTCTGATGAAAATCCAGTCACGTTGACCACTGCTCAGTGTTTTCCGCTTGTGCAGTTTGTGCAGAGGCGTACAACCCCGATGACGACGAGGACGATGATGCAGAGCTTCGGATTGTGTATCCGAAAACAGATGTGCAGCGTCGCAGGCTTCAGGATGCGTGCAGAGACATTCTGTTGTTTAAAACCCTGGAGCAGGTAGAACACACCAAATGCTTCACCCCAACGTGCACCTATCCCTAAACCTCAACTAAACCAAAACCTAAACCTAGCTCCAACCACAGCCGTACAGTCGTCCAGAGGGCCTGTGTCGAAGTGAGGAAGCCCAAAATGTCCTCAATTTTCAAAAATGTCTTGAGTCAGAAGGTATAAATATATATTTCTCCAGTTGGTTATTTTTTCCTCCTCTAGATCTTACCTCATCTAGTCTATAACTCGTATGTGTATGTTTCGTATTGCGAAAACATGTAAAAAAAAATGTAAAACGTTGTCCTCGCTCTCAGGAGCAGTTCTCTGAGGTTTTGGACGGCATGTTCGAGGTGTTGGTCAAACCTCAGGAGCACATCATAGACCAAGGAGCCGATGGAGACAACTTCTACGTCATAGAGAAGTGAGTGACGGATTTCTAAGTGTTGCCGTGTGACTAAATGACTTTTTGTCCGTCTCACACTGACTTCTCTCTCTCGCTCTCCTTCTTTCCAGAGGTGTGTACGACATTCTTGTGCAGAAGGGCGGAGTGAGCGTGTGCGTTGGAAAGTACGACAATAAGGGCAGCTTCGGTGAGCTGGCTCTCATGTACAATACGCCGCGAGCCGCCACAATCATCGCCACGCAGGAGGGCGCCCTGTGGGGCCTGGTGAGTCCCACAGAGCACCGCGGTCGGGAATAAGGAGGAGAATTTGAACTGAATTTTAAAAAAACGTTCTCGTTTGGTGCTCAGGATCGAGCCACTTTTCACAGACTGATTGTTAGAAATAACGCGAAGAAGAGGAGGACGTACGAAGCCTTCATCGAGTGTGTTCCTCTTTTGAAGTCTCTTGAGGTTCGTATCAACAACTGTAAAAGAGAAAATAGGACATTATTGTATATAAATATAAATTCAGCAGGTAAATTTATATTTCCGAAGGTGCTATTGACCGGAAGTTTGCCAAGTAACCACACATACAAAGTAAGCTCTGTGTAATAACATGGAATGACACACAAAAGTATGGAACACTGTTACTGAAATGTATTTAATACAAAAGCTAATGAGCGCTTAAAGAAGCCTCCTGTGTGGAGAAACGATTACAGTTGCTTAATTTCCTTTCTCTGGAACCAGTCCAAAGTTTCCGTAGCTGTATTTTTGGGATCAATGCTGAAACGTCATCTTCATCATCCTGGTAGAATTCCTCTCAGTACATTTTTTCCCATTTACCCTTCCTTCATTTATATGAAGTTTGCCGATGCCGTCCAAACCTCACTGCTGGTAACCGATGCCATCAGTAAGTTTTGCAACAATAAGGTTGCAAAGGTTTGGTGAGCGCTCTTTGCTTCTACCCATCTCGAGAACTTCTTGTGTCCCGCCTTGGTCATAAGACACTTTATTACAGGCCACCATTTGGGACGGAACCAGCTGATATTAATGTGCACCGACAAGCTGCAGGATCACTTTCTAATTACCGATAGATTTCAGCTGCTGTCTTGGTTTCATGCCTCTTTGCGCCTCCAACGTTGTCATTCCATTATATTACACATGACTTCATTTCTGAACTTATTTGTTTGGTTTTCTTGGGCATCTTGTCCATAGCGCCTTTTAAAAATGTTATTTACTGGTAGAAATGGAGCCGTGTTTTACCCGTTGTCTGTGTGTGCTCAAGCTTCATTTTCTCTCCTCGAAGCTCTCTGAGAGGATGAAGATTGTCGACGTTGTCGGAGCGCGAGTGTTCAAAGACGGAGAGCGCTTGATAACGCAGGTACGGTGCTGAGACACTCGTCGCTGAGTCTTCTCTTTGCGTGAGACAACAACAGCTCAAAACGTCACATCTGTTTCTGCTGCTTTCTGTGCCTGCAAGGGGGAGGAGGCCGACTGCTTCTACGTCGTGGAATCCGGAGAGGTGAAGATCATGATAACGAGCCAGGTGAGTGCGTCCGATAACGCGAGTGCTTCTAATGCGAGTTGCCTCAGTCCGCTAATGTGTGCGGGACTCACCGGTTCCTTCGTGTCCGTCGCAGGCGAAGGCGGGCCAGCAGGACGAGGTGGAGGTGGCTCGCTGCTCTAGAGGGCAGTATTTCGGGGAGCTGGCGTTGGTCACCAACAAACCTCGAGCAGCATCCGTTTACGCCGTGGGAGAGACCAAATGTTTGGGTGAGACGGCGGCGTTTGTGCCGGCGGGCTGGACGGCAGTTGCGTGAATGGCGAAGGTGGTGCAGCCAACAAGAGCAATCACTTCTAATCTAAACGCAGCTAGAGGCTGTTTTATCTGCTTCACTTAAACGATACAAAATACAGCTAATGCTGTATAAGCAGGGAGTCAGAGGATGCGTTTCAACGGGAGTAGGTCGGACAAATCCATCCAAGTAATCTGGAGTCCTGCGGTTTTACGCTGATTTGAAATGCTTCTAAATATACTTTTACTTTTATAACGGTTTCCATTTAACCTGCGGTTTGACGTGAATGTTTATTGAAAAACGCTCTGACTAACACGTAGCCTACTACTAATGGAAAGACCTGAATCTAAATTCCAGACCAACTGTTAGAGAAATGAAACTTTCAAAAGCTCAATTTGTTCAAAAACATTTTTTTTTAGGTTTCACTTTTTCTAAACTACATAACTCCATCTGTAGGAAAACCGAAGCCTGAAATGGGAGGATATAATCGTAAACGACTTTTTCTTTCAGTAATCGACATCCAGGCTTTCGAGCGGTTGCTGGGACCCTGCATGGACATCATGAAGAGGAACATTTCCCAGTATGAAGAACAGCGGGTGGCGCTTATGGGCTCCAGTGTGGATTGAAACACCAACACACGTACTTTGAAAATGAAGCAGTATTTAAGTACATAGTGATCTTCCCTTGAGTTAAATGTAACTCAGATCCTTATGTTTTATATTCTGTGAGATGTATTGAACTGTTCCATTACTGTCAGAGCTTTAAATATCGACTTGAATGCAACAGAACCAGAGAAATACACTTTTGTAGATTCTTTCTCGTTCCAATTCAAGACGTTACCAGTAAAGTACAACTCAACTGCCTACAGTTTGAGTTTTAAGTGTGTTGCATGAAGCACTTTATGTATCCTCAAGCAGAGGTCTGGTGAATCCACTTATTTATAACCACCCTGATCTTTCTCAAATTGGTAGTCTGCAGACCCAACTGATAACTGTACTTGTCTTTCCCAGTTTGATGTGTGTGTATATTTAGACAATTCCACCATGTTAGTCATTGTGCTGATCAATAACTGATGGATTATTTGATAAGCCAAATGTACTCATCTTTATGAAAAACGTTAAGACAGAATTAATCAAAGTTGAGTTTTTATTTGAGTTACAAAATATGAAGTGCAATTAGCAGACTCCACAGGAGAGTTTGCCAACCTTCTTGTTACAAGTATTTACACCCAGGGATACCCATCTAAATGTCACTCTGTGTTCAAGTCTGTTAAGTTGTCATGGTTTAAATATTTAAAATATCTACAAGTCTTATTGTAGCTTGTTCAATGCAAAGGCAGGTGCCAAAAAAATATAGCCGCTCCAATTATGTGAGAAAGAGCAGAGCTGGTGGAATTAAAGGAGCTGTTAAACGAACGTGGTCCTCTAGAGTCTCCATTGTTTTACAGATAATTCTTCCTCTAAAAGATTCTGGGCGAGATAGTCTGTACATAAATATTTAAAATGACACGTTGAAATGCCTTTTTAGCCATTGAGGTGCAAAAGCCTCTACGATCCACTCTTGTAAAGAAATGAATGACAAATCAATAAAAAGAAAGAAAAAGAAAGGCCACCAAGATCGTCAGTCGTTCAAACATCCAGATTTTTTTTTCTTCAGAGCATCTTCGAACATTAAAATAAAACTCCAATAAATAGAAATACAGCAGAGAAAATGTCAAATAAGACTAATTCCGGTTTGGTCCATCTCAGAGTTCTTTTGAGAAGGACAAAAATAACAGATGCGAAGACTGAAAAGAAAGTTTTGCCGGGGTAAATCTTACACATTCCCACTGTGTAAAGGAAAAAAAAAAAAGTAGTTCTCTGGTTTCCTGAGGCTCATCCGCAAGAACATCCATCGAGGGTACGTTTCCCAGCAGCGACGGTTACACAGAGGTGATGACAATCATGAGGTGTGGTGAGATGCTGGAGATCCGGTTGAGGAGGTCGGGGGCGAGCTGAGATAAATGGCTCTCTGAAAACTCGCATGGTGGGAAAATCTGAAGCACGTAGGCAGGCTGGAAAAACAAAAAGGAAAAGAGTAAATCACTGAAGTCACATGCAATGCAACACTGTATGATACTGAACGATTTGTTTAGAAGTAATGAAATGACTCTTAACTAAGGCAACATTCGTTATTAAATCCATCAAAACATATACAAAAGAATACACTGAGCGAACCGTGAAACAAACAATCCTGTCTCACCTGATTGGAACCTGGGTTGGGGATATTAATGATACCAGCAGCCAACTTTGCTTGCAAGTAGTTAATGAAAGCGGCCTTAAGAGCTTGAGTTTGGCTCAGGACATCATCTTGATCTCGTCCACATGGCAAAGCGAGGAGAAGACAGAAATCACTGTCCCCCTGTAGGGACAAAAATGTAAACGGGATGTTATAACGGGATGAAACATAAAAAGGACTCGGGGGGGGGGTAAGACCAGGCATACGTACCGTCATTCTTCGGGCCACGCTCTCTAGTTGTGACGCCTCCAGCCTCATTCTCTGGACGATCCGAAGCAATGCGCCTCCTTCCTGAAGCGGCAGGGACCGATGAGCCAAAGCTTTGTTACCGCACACAAAATGTAACTGGACTGCAGCCGTGTCGTTCTTCAATGCCAGCAGGCCTTGCCACACGATTGGGTACTTCTGTTTGAATGCAAGGCAGAACAATGGGAAGTGTTTTAGATTACGCCAGCTCTCGTTCAGATTATGGCTGGACGGTATTCATGAATTAGCATAGTATTTTTTTCCCCTCAAGTAAACACATTGACCTTGGAAATGACCGCCGGCCACACAAACAACTGCTTACCGCTCGCTGGCTCACTCACAACGGGCCGGCGAGTGGTGGTGGTTGTGGCTGCTAATGTTGCCACTCGCCGTAACAGCTCTTGGCAACTTGGAAATAATTGTTTTCTGATCTAACTTACGTGGTATTTTTTTAAACCAAACCCCCTGCAAACAGCACTCATCTCCTCTCTTGTGCACAAGTTGTTTTGGCAGTTCAGTAATTGTATAAAATGTACAATTATTAGTGTTATAAATTGTTGTGTCATGGTGATTTACAACACGTTTGTCGGGGGGTATTAATTGTTGTAAAATCTTATAACCATGACTCAATCTCTATACACAAGTAGCTGCAACCTACTTCATTTCGTACCGACGAGTTTGGTCTTACCGTCAGCAGCTGCACCATATTAACCGGCTGCGACAGCTTGCCGTCTGGTTTTGTCTGGGGGTCTGCGCCCTGAGGATTCATCACAACAGTGTATCGAGTCATTGACAGTTTCTCTAATATGAAGACATAAAACATCCTTTGCATGTATACTTTGCCAGCCTTGCTTATCACCACAAAACAGCCTACAAAATAATGCCTATGAAGTTAAATCTAGAGCGGTCTTAAAGTGTAGATTCTAGTTAAAGAGTCTTTAATCGGACTGCATTACTTTGTATTGAGTGCAGTGAACTCACCGTGGTTGGTGGGACGTTCAGTGGTGGCTGGTTAACGGCAGACGTCTCTGGTACTTGAGAATGGATGCTTCTTGAGTTTGAGTACATCCCAGTATACTCTGGGAATGAGCCACTGGGTCCTGGTGCAATTAGCTGAACTCTTTGGGGAGACGCCATTGCTTGCCCAGTTTGTCTTATCCCCATCATTCCATCCTTAGGAAGAGGAGAGTGTGCCCTCTTTGCCTCAATATTCTTTGTTATATCCTTCTCAGACACACCTTTCGGCAAAACATGTGCTCTTGGAGACAAGGACAACGGCAGGCTGGAAGGTGCAGCAGATGAGGGAAGGGTCTCCTGAATGTGTCCAGAATGAGAGTCAGTGGCCAGACGCTCTCCCTGTTGGTGCATGAGGACGCGCATCTCTCTTTGTGACATGTATGTCTCCAATGGGACACTACTCCGCATAGGCCCGCGAGGATCGGGCTGCATAGGCTCCGGTTTTATCTGCGTTGCAGATTGCCTTCCGGCAGCCTGGTGGAAGCGTCTCGCGTCTTCCTGCTCCCCGTCGTGGCCCCTCAGAGAACCGGGGTTCACCTTGAGAACCTTGTCCCTGCCAACAGCCTGGGGAGAGGCAGGCCGCGGCGGCATGGGACCAGACCACGGAGAGGCGAGGGGCTCACTGTGCATCCCGTAGCTCATCACGGAGTGAGGTGGAGTATTGACCCGAGCGTCTCCTTGGACAAGGTGCCCCACTGGCATCGACGGGTTGACCCGGTGAGGAGACATCCGTCCCAGGCCTCCGGGCACGTTGTGAGTCGGCATGATGACTGACTGCTCCGCGTGATGTACGCCGGTAATGAACTGTTGCATAGCAGGGAGACCAGTGGATAACATCACTGGTAGGCCCTTGGGTGACGAGGAGCCCACGGGAGAGGACACTTTAGTAAACTGAGTGTGTGGATGACCTGACTTGCGAGGGGACCGCGGCTCCTGTTTGACTCCGCTGATATGGGGGGGCGCTCGGTCACCCGGCGCTGTGCCAAAGCCTACGTGGTTGCCGGGCGGAGAGGGCAAATGGGGGCTTATTGCAGGACTTATGGCCGAGGTCCAAGAAGGTTTAGCTCCATCGGTGCTGTGAGGATCAGCACTGTCTATTTTCTTTTGATGTTTTATTGGCATGTACTCTTGATGGTAACTCATTACTTGCTGGCTACCTTGTGAGAGACGCTTCACTACTCCTTGAGGTCCAGACTGGTACGTCGATTCCAGCTTTTCCAAACCAGTGCTTTCTTGTTTAATGGAAGACAAAGTTGACTGTGTCTTACCGGGATGCCCATGGTCTGTCTGCAGTGAGGGCCCCTTTTGAAGTCCTAAATGAGAATGACCATACATTTCCTGTTGTTTTATCTGGGGTATGGACACCAGCGGCTGAGATTCTATGTCACCTGCTGTTGCTTGTGGGATCTGACTTATCTTGGCACTGATCCTCTGCGGTCCTTCAGTCTTCTGGCCCGAGTGGCTTAATACTACCACTCCTTCAGACGTATTTACTCTCAGACCAGGGCAAGACCCCGTACCGAGCGTTTCGACGATGAAGCGTGCAGCACTTCCACCTCCATCACCAACGGACGGAACATGGTATGATCCGCTATCGTCTTTGCTGGGCCTATAGGCTTGTTTGGGAAGAGTCACGTCAACACAGGGATTGACAATGCTCACGTTTCCCTTGTCCTCAGGCTCGGGAGGATTGCAAACACGACTGATGACAGAGGTGGCCGTGGACGCAATAACTGAGATAACAGACTTTGTCTCAGGAGATTGTAATGAGGCTGGAGCTCGAACAATAGGTGGAGCCGGATGAGCAGCCATTACACTCCCTGATAGGGGGGACTTATTCGTCACAGCGGCTGACTGAGTATTACTTTCAGGGGGGTTTTGATCACGCAGAGTGGGAAGGTTACTTGGAATAGAACTACTGCCTGGCAAGGAGATATTTTTATGTTTCATAAGAATCTGCCTCAAGTCACTTGTGCCATGATCAATATCCACGTTTGCAGAGTCGGAGGGTAAAGGCTGGTTTTCCTTGGACGCCAATGGCATGAGAGGTGAAGAGGAGACTCCTGGATCTTTAGATGGATGCCGCCAATCCGGGGGAGAAACAGGAATTCTACTCGTTTGAATGGGTCTGATATTTGGCCTGTTGGCTAGGGGGGACAGGGAAGGGGAGATGCAGTCAGCTGGAACCTGTTGAGGCTTTGGGCCCATTTGACTCTTAGACTGGGGGTTAACAGATTTAATATGCTGCATGTGTTCCTCAGAAGATGACTCTGACTCGGTGTTTACGTCGGCGACCTTTGCGGCCAAAGGCTCCGGTTCTTGCTTCCAAGTAATGACCCCAGTAGTTGCTGCTGATGGAATTGTTGCAGGAGCGGTCTTTACAGTGGAAGGTGGGCCATCTGCCGAAGGAATCGTCGATTCCTCACTTATTGAAGGTCCTTCCTTTGAATCTTTTCTTACTTGCTTTTGGACTTTTCGTTTTGGTCTTCCCTTTTTGGGTGTAGCAGATAAGACAGGCTCCTCCTGTAAAGCAGGTACATTTGATTCAGGTTCATTTTCCTTAGCTGGCAAAATCAGGTCTTGTACCTCAGGTTGTGAAGCTACATCTGGCCTTGATGGAGCTGCTGGAGTCAATAATACAGTTCCGTCAGCAGTTATGGAATCAATAGCAGCCATGAGTTCCGTCTCGCTAGCGGGATTGGAAGGTTTTTCTTCTTCTGGCTCAATTTTCCCTTCTGTAAGCGGGACAGGCAGCGTTGGTGGTTCTGTTGGAGAAGCTGGATCCGTAAGTTTTGCAATATTTTTCAGAGCCTGTTCCAATTCCAGCTGTGAAATTAAGCTTTTCGGGGATTCCAGAAGCTCTTGTTTTTCCAAA